CTCCAAACCAGCTGGACCGTCTGGGGATGGAGTCGCCATTCTCCCGGGAGCGCAGCTCGAGATAGCTCGTCGGCTGCCTGATTGAGCAGCCCAGGAATGTGAACAGCATGAAGCGACCTCAGGTGCTTCTGACTCCAGAGGAGGAGGTGGCGGGCGAGTTGCGACATGCGACGGGAGCGCAGACCACCTTCTTGGTTGATGTACGCAACGGTCGCTGTGTTGTGTCATCCGACGTGACGTCGAGAGTGACCGTCTGAAAAGGAACCTTGTTTACTGAAATCACATGACTTTGGCAGTTTGATGTTTCGAAACAAATGATTCACAAAGGTTTTAAAGCTTCACAAAGCAGTGTTTTAAAGGCCCTGTCCTAAATCGCAGTCTAAACCCTCGCGGTCTTCCTCTGAGTCCACATTTTCGTGACGTAATGCCGCTTTGACTGTCAGGTAGAAGTCTGCTACGGAACTCGCCTCAGTGTGGGCTCGGCAGAAGTGCGCATCGAGGGCGCATAGTGGCCGCAAAGGGGGCAAGCACAATGAACATAAATAAACCGCAGCAGACGTGACTGAATATGAATGAGTGTTGTTATTCTATAACAAAATATCATAAATTATCGATTGATTATTTTGCACTCCTGATATAAAGAAATTACTGTCACTGCAACTGAGTTTTATCCTAACAGTGTTCAAATATCGAAGCTAGAGTCTAATCTTTCTAATGATACACAGTTTGTTCAGATCAAGTAAGAGCGTGGTGTTTTAACGTGCTGTGAATGTGAAACGACAATAATCTGAGGCCGCCGGCGATCTTTGCAGGTTAAGTTAACAGTTAACTCTCAATTCATGACGCTGTCTACATTGCTTAGGCACCGGTATGCCGGTTTTTAAAAAATACATACCGGTTGCGTAATTTAAACCGGTTTACCGTTTGAACCCAACACGCTCTGATAGCCTCATGTCAGTGCGCTGCTCTCGGCTGGATCATTAGGGACATTCAGAGACAGGCCTGTCTGTGTGGGACGAGACAGCCTAGAGCTACTGAGACAACAACATGTCATAGGACTGAATTCAGGTAGAGAAGGGGCTTCCTGTCATAACATGCTTCTACACTGATCACAGAGAGATAGAAGGAGACACAGAAAGACAGAAAATGTTACTGTTAACCCTGAATATTATACCAGGGCTCGGCAGTGTGAGCGTTTCGCTAAAAACAGATGTGTGTGAACTGTAAAATGTATGTAAAAAGTCATAAAAATTCTTAAATTGCATAACAAACATCTTAATTCTAAGATTAAAAAAAAAACGGTATTCACGAAACAGCCTAATGTAAAAGGCTCCGATTTCATTAAAAAATGTGTGCGCTGCACATTTAAAGTAGAAACGTGGTGCTGTTGCTCTTTCTACAGGCTGTTCGCAATCAATGAATATCACACATTTATGCACAGTGATTGCTTATGATTTACGACAATGTTTACTTTATGGTGTTTATATGGTAATAATCTTGTAGATGGTTGTAAGATCTCATATTTGAATAATAAAGCATATGTATTTCAAAATAAGAGTCTGTGCATTTCGGGCTTGTTCATAATTAAAAGTCCTCAGCACAATGATCTGTAATCTGTCTATTACAGTTAAATAGATAAATATTTACATACATTTTAAATACAGTTTTAAGCAGAAATATATATTTTTAAAAAACGAGTGTATTTTTTGTATTGTAATAAACACACTCGCATGGTCATGTGCAATGGCTGCATAAATGTAATTATGTCAACTATGGGACTATGCAATTTTTGATTTCGTATTGGCTTAGATATGGCGTTTCTGTGACTGTAATTTCTTCCTGTACCCTTTGGCCCTGTGGACCGTCCCCTTCATCCTGGGCTCCGTCCTCCTGCTGCTCATAGTTCGGACCCCCGAGGAGCCGGATCCGCTTCTCACACCGCTTCTTTGCCACTGTGAGCTGGTTAATGTAACGCTTCATGTTTCTGGCACGTAACAGGTCAGCCTTCAGCGCGGCAGCCTCTTTCCCTTTACTGTCTACAGAGAGAGAGAGAGAGAGAGAGAGAGAATTCATATGCAATCTCACAGGAATCAGCTCTGATAGATAACTTAGAGAAACCAGCTCTGATGTCGGAAGCAGATATGATGTAAATGGCTCACAATGTGTACCAGGACCATTTCCTTCTGCTTCATCTGTGTCACCTTCACACAGAGATCAAACTAGACATCAAGCAAGTACACAAACAAATTTTTATTTGCTTTGTTTTATGTTTATTTAATGTTTATTATTAAATCAGAGTTTCAAACTATTCCTACATTTCTCAAATTTTGAAAACAGGGTTGCAAAACTTGCAAACCCCATTTGCCAAATGCTTTCCTTGATCCAAATGCCAATGCACATAAAAAAATAATAATAAATCATTGGACAGATGCAACCAATGCTCTTTCCATTGAATTTTAAGGCAAACAATATAAAAGACACATTTATTTTACAGTTTTACAATAATAAAGTAATTTAGTACTAAAAATAATGTGCAATACAAATACCACCACTAAATAATTACCTAATATGTACATGCAGTTTATTAGTACTAGGTACTTTTTTATACGTAGGCATCAGTTATTGACTTTCCATGGACTTTCCGTGTGAAGTTTGAATGGAAAGAGCCACCTGTGGCATTCACAGAGCTCAGAATGAGTCTGGAAATATGAGCAATCACCGCCAACCAGCGTCCATCTCACAGCACGCTCTGTCTGCTGCTGGAAACCAGGGAGGAGGGGAGAGACTTTTACACAAGCGTTCCCAGCTCTCCTTCCTTTAATAGCCAGGGTCATTGTGCCGAACCAGCGGGAAGATTTATAGATTTTCCCATTACAGTGCAGCAGGAGACGGAAAACATGACGACAAATAAACAGCCCCTTTCCTGACTCTCTGCAAGAACTAACATAACATAAATGCTTCCCACCGTGTGAATAAAATGAGCTTTAATTAATTCAGCACTGAAATAAAGGCACGATTAATTAACTTTATCTCCAATCAAAGATGTTCAGCAGTAAGCTTGCTCGTTTAGTCAAAGAAAACCTCCTCATACATAACCAGAGTTTATTAGCTGTATATGCTGTATTTGTGAAGCTGAAAACATATTCATGTCTAAACTCTTTACTTTCTAAAATCTTTAAAATATTTTCCTTAGTAAATGCAATGGAACATTCCATAAAATTGTATGTAACAAAATAAATAAATAAATAAAAATGAATAAAATAAATAAATAAACAAACTTCTTCCTTAGTAAACACAATGGAACATTACATAACGTAGGAATGAATGAATGTATGAACAAACAAGTAATGAATGAATGAATGAACAAACAAACAATGAACGAACAAACTGGATTAAATAAATAAATAAATAAAAGAAATTAATAAAAAATGAATGAATGAACAATGAATGAATGAACAAACAAACAATGAATGAACGAACGAATGAACAAAAACAAATGTATGAATGAATGAATGAACAAACAATGAATGAATGAACAAACGAACGAATTAATGAACGAACAAAACTTCTTTAGTAAGCACAAATGGAACATCCCATAAAATAGTTGGAATAAATAAATAAAAGAAATTAATAATAAACAAAATCAAACAATAAATAAATAGTTTATCAATACCTTTAATACCTTTAAACTAACATTTGGTGGCAAACTAGTTACAGTAACACCTAAAGAGACTAAAACTGCAAGTCAGTTGCCCATTCTGGAGAATAAACAACACTTTTTTTTTTTTTTTTTGAAGAAAAAAATTTTTAA